TACTATATACTTTTATAGGATACACACAAAATCTACAGAATGGATTTTCGGGTCAGTACAATGAAGTAGAAAAGAGTCTCACATGAATATTTTCTACTATAGGTACAACAAAGAAACCATTGGGCATTGCACTTGCTTTTTATTCTGGACTTTGGGCGTACGATGGTTGGAATTGTTTGAATGCAGTAACAGAGGAGCTCAAAAATCCGAAAAGGTACAGAATATTGATTAGATGAAAATTTATTCATATACAATCCGAATAATGCATCGTACTTTTTCGTAGATTACAAAACATATAAAAATCTGGACGTGGTGTAGAATTGAAAGAAAGAAGTAATTGAGTAGTGGTCATTCTCGGAATATAAATTTTCTATTCGATGATTGAGAAAAGTGCGTTCGAATAGTATCTAATTTCGCCAAACTTACGAGTTTGCGAAGATTGTATAGTCGATCGTCAAAATCAGTTATAAGATTGTTGGCTTATACATTTTTGAGCTTCATTACTCGGAAGTATGGCTATAATGTTGTGCATTGAGGCCGCAAATATAAAGACTAAAATTATTAGTTGATATACTACTATTAGCAATGATGCTTCGACTTAGATTAATCGCTTGAGGAACTCTCGACTTTTCTATGTTTCTTCTATAAGCAATGAAGAATGATATCGAGATTTTCTAAGGAAAAAATTTTGTCCAAATGATGGGTTCATAACTTATTCAAGAATATGATTATTATGCATGTGCCTAAAAACTTTGGATTTTAGAATGTTGAAACTCAAACTTCAGTCATTTTGCTAAAAAAATGAATTGCTTTATAATGGAGATTTTTTTCTATGCTTTCTATGGACTAGTTAAATTCGTCTATGTTTATAATATTGCTCGACAAATTTTCTTTTCAGCCTTTTTTAAATAAAAGAACGACTTTTCTATATCATCTATACATGCTTTGATACTTAATTACCGAAGTATTAAAACATTTTGATTGATCAGTCGTCAACTAAACAACAATATAGATATGTGAGTTCGGATGAGATTGATAAAACTATAATCATTGATTCTCATCACCACTCTTATACCTAATATCTTCGGCAGACGACCGAATACCTTCGCCTTCAAGATAGTTTTACAGGAAATTATATTTTGTAAAGGCTAGTGAAAAAGAAATTTTCTAATATTTGAAAATATACTAAACCAGGCGATTCCATATCTAAAGTAAATACAAGCATCAAATATTATATTGGCATTATAAAAACAATTTTTACCAAAATGATTTCTTTCTTCTTATTCCACGAGCGAATTATTTTCGATGAAAATTGTCTCAGCGATGACGAATACATTCTGCGAATCTTGAGAATATTCGGATAAAAAATAACACAAACTACGTAGAGATTCGCAAAAAAATATATTGCCTTTCAGTTTAACTAAATTGAACAGTTTTACGAATGACGATGAATTTTCGATCGTATCCAAGCATTATCCTTTTGAAAGACTAAAATAACCAGTATACATTGTTTCATGCTCTTTTTCATAGAAATCTATGGCTTGCCATTATTTTGGCTTTACCATCTATCATCGTCATATATCTTCTTACGAACATATCCTATTTCACAGTGATGGATAAAGCGACATTGCTTAGTTCGGATGCTGTCGCTGTGGTAAGCTGTAAATTAAACTATTGGTTTTTTCATAACTCTCTTCTCAATAGACATGGGGAAATGTTGTTTTGGGACCTGTCGTTCGTATTCTACCCATTCTCATATCTATCAGCGCACTGGGTGGTTGCAATGGATCTCTATTTATGAGTGGCCGTTATTGTATGGTTGGTGCTCGTTACGGCTATTTACCAGAAGTATTTGCTTGTATTCAAAAGCAACGATTGACACCATTGCCTGCAATTGTTCTCGAGGTTGAAGCAACATATAATTCTTGTTAATAGACGATTGATTTCTAAATATTTATAGGGAATACTTTCGATGGTTTATTGCATTCCCAGCAATATCCAATCATTAATCGAATTTTTCAGTTTTGTCGCTTGGATGTTCTATGGATTAACATTTGTTGCAACTCTGTGTTGTAAATTTACGAAAAAAGAAGTCGATCGAGTGATTAGTGTAAGTAAAATCCAATTTTCTAATCAAACAAACAACAAATTTGGTTCTATAAAGGTTCCAATACCGTTGATTATTATCATTATTCTAATTTCCATCTATCTGGTTATTTCGCCGGTAATTTCCAATCCGAATATTGGTTTTCTTGTTGCTTTGATTCTTATTCTATTCGGCTTAATATTCTACTATCCGTTCGTCTATCGTAAAATCGAACTGAAATTTATACGTAAGTTTATTATTGGTTTCAAAAATTCATCATATAACTAATATCTAAGCCTTCTAGAACAAATCAACGCCTTTCTCAAACGATGCTTTCAATTGGAAAAGGCCGATATAAACATGAGTTAATGGAAATATTTGTTCAGTTCATTCTATTCTTTGATTCAATAAATGCGTATTCAACCAGTTAATCATTCGTCATTTAGATATTCAGGATCGATTTCGTCAATTTTTGAACGGTACATAATAGCATTCGAAAGACATGTATATAATATCAATACAGTTGTGAATGAAGTATGCTTTGTCTTTTAGCTACTTGTTTGAGCACATCAACGAATAACACTAAGTCACAATAAATTATTGAGTTCATACCTATTCATCGGCTTATTGTTGACTGTCGTAGAATTGATCATTCAAAATCTTCGTGTGGTAAAGCGAAATCGAGATCATTTACATGAAGCATATTGAACAGAAATATGTAATTTTATACAACTTCAAAAATATCCTTCATTTTTGCAAATTTTTCGAATACAAAAACAACTCTTAAGTTGCAAATCATATTTCGATATGTAGATAAAGTTGTTATTATTGTTATTTGTAAGTCGATTGATAGAGGATAATGGAATTTCTCTTTCCAGCAAAAAGCTCGAAATCGCAAAAAGATGAGTCTTAGTCAGAAGAAAAAAACTGTTGATGAACTGTTTAAATGTAACACGAGTTTTTTATATTTTCTCATTGGATAGTTGATCGAAAAAAATTGTCTTAAAATCTATATTGACATTTACTTTCGAGTAAATCAAACTTTACTTACATACGAACATTGACGCAGAAAAAAGTTGGTTTTTTTTTTATTTCTTTTACGATGCGAAACGGACATTCATTCTCAATTTTCATTTAATAACGAAGCACACACTCTGAAAAAAGAACAAATGAAAGTGAGTATTTGTACATGGAGAAGTGTCATGCCTTTCATTCGTCAAAATAGTCTTGAAAGTTTCATAATTCCGTCAAGCATGGGAAGGAGTGTCCAAGGACTGAGGAATAGGAATTCCTACTCAGTTCCCTGGCATTTCTTTGAATGTTAAAATTAAAAAAATACAATATCTACGGTACTTATTACTCTTACACTCGTTTTCATCAAGAAATTTGTGCACATGAACGTATGAGTACGAAAATTATTGCAAAAAAAGCATTATCTTGACTTTCATGAATGAGGGAACTGTGATGGAAATAATGGTCAATTCCCATTTCCCCAAGGAATTATCATAGCTACACTGACAACTCCTCTGCAAATTAGGAATTCCTATTTCTCAGTCCTTGGACACTGCTGGCATTACGTGATGAAGATCGCACAAAAGCAGTACCCTTTTATGACTATTATAAGTTGTTTACGTCCATACTAAATAAGTTGCCATCAATTCAAGATAATTTATGGTGTGGTGTTACTGCCAATCTGAGCGATCAATATAGTTCAGGTAGCATCCATATATGGCATGCTGCTAGTTCATGTTCAGACCAAGTGCATGTCACTGATGCGTTTCTCAATAAAAAGAAGCATCGAACATTATTTAGTATTAAATGTTATAATGGAAAGATAATTAAGAACCATTCGCATTATCCAGACGAAAGTGAGACTATTTTACCGCCTGGCACCTGTATACGAGTTAAATCACAATCAATTCCAGCTGATAATTTGTATATTATTTCTTGTGAAGAAATCATACTTACTCCTGAAGAAATGAATAATCTTTTAAAAACTGGAGCTGTTTCTACTGCATCGGCTGCAATGCCTATAACAACATCGGTCTTGTATTTGTTGTGGCTCGATCCAAATGGCAACAAGTCAAAAGAAAATGTAGCAACATAAGAAGAGTTACGCGTTTTGTTCAAAGATGATTTTCAAACATTTGACAAAGTCGAAGAATGTGAATTGTCTATCAATCAGAAGAATAATGATCGTATAATTTTAGTTGTTAGTGGACAATTCGGACGAAAAACTGTACCTGAAATTCATGATTTACCACAGCTGACAAGCATTTTTTTATATTGTATGGACAAAAAAGCAAATGAAAAGTGGACAAAAAATTATACAAAAGTTAGTAGAATCACTTGAGTGTGGGCGTACGTGGATATCTGTCTAGACGAAGGTGACAGAATGATTGGCCGTCTCACAAAATCAGACTAGAGCTCAAAACTGGGACTCTTTCTGGCTCGTACCCATTTCAAAATATTTTCTTCTCCTCTCTGTCTCATATTTACACGATATTTTTTCTCCTTGGACAATACTTTATTTAATTCTATATCGAACTGTAAGATGGAGTTATATAGGGAATTAAACAACGAATTTTGTGGAAAAATTTATTCGATTCTGTTGAATTGCTGCTGAAAACTATGCAAAATACTCTGAGCTTCATTGTTTATGGGTCATCCGTTAGATTTTTAAGAAGGGTTGGTGACTTTTAATATTGAAAAGAATCTTTCTTCAAAATAAATACTGCAAAAACAAACTAGAGAGCCTTCCTAAATAGTTTATAATACACTATGACACTACTGAGCGATAAGAATTAATTTTTGTCAAAAATGATGTAATCAGGTTCAAAGTCAACAAATTTCATGTAGTTTTGTATCAAACCTAACGAAACAATGAATTTACTTCTCTGGAAAGTTCAAAAATTCGGGTTTCACAAGATTGTAATGTTGTCAACGAATTACATGCTAACATATAAATTAATCGACTTGTACAGAAGATCTGAATGTCTGGAAGGACAAATTGAACTCTGCTTTTATATTGCAGGTCAAAGCGATTGTCACTCGGTCAAATGAGTTGATTAAAGAGATTGAACAAGAAAAATCATCACTAATGTAAGTTCTGCCAGTTAAATTATTAATAGTACAACTTTTACTTCTCGAAGTATATTTGTGTTTTAGGTTAGAATTGGTCAATCCTAATGAGACTCAACCAACTGTAAAGACACCTTTGAGTGGTTATGAAAAGCAACCATTAATGTCTCTGGAAGAAGCATTGAAACCTGTTGATCATCTAATAGAGGATCTGCGAAGACATGTAGCTATTGCTAAAAAGCATTGTACAAAGCCTAAAGATGGATTAACACAAGATGAGTCGGCTTCTATTATGGTCTATGGTATGGAATGGGAAGAAAGTCCTCTTTATAAGATATTAAATGTCGCACTACGTTCGGATGACAGACATAAAATAAAACCATGGTTTCCATATTTGAAATTATTCATGACAGCGCTGCATAAATTGCCATCATTTCAAGGAATAGTTTGGCGTGCTGTTCAAATCGATCTCAGTAACCAATATAGTAAAGGTCAACGTATGAATTGGTGGAGTGTATCATCCACAACTCGTGATGCATCAGTATTCGAAAATTTTATACATCAGTCTGGCAAGCGTACAGTGTTTACAATTGAATGTAAAAATGGAAAACTCATCAACAATCATTCTCAATATCCTAGCGACGACGAAGTGTTATTAATGCCAGGATTTTACTTTGAAGTTACAAGTGTATTCAAACCAGCAGTTGATATGTATATAATCAGCTTAAAAGAAATTGATTCACCATGGTAAACTTTACTCTGCATGAGTATATTTGTGATGTATTGACATTCGTTATTGAAACTTTTCTTTAGTTATATTTGTGTTTAAGAACTTCATTATATGATTATATACTTCCATTTGATTTTTCTTTCTCTTTTCTCTGGTATTTTCCTATGTTACATACACAGATATATATATACGTTCATGCATTTTTTCACTATTAGCAATTGTTGTATTTCTTTTTCACCTTTTCTTTACTGTCATTAGTTCTTGTTCTGTAACTATTATCTCTGTATTCACAACATATTTAGGAAAATCGATATTTTTCATATCTTCACTTTTTTATCCGATCGACCCACAATACGTGACAATTTAGTGACAAAAGTAAGATATCAAATTTTATTGTTATTCTCGTCACATCATATTCAAACACATATTAAGATATCCATGGTCAAATGCCTATCATCCAGTCTACACTTGAGCAAACGATGTGAATGTGTGTGAGTGAATGGAGACCTTCTCTTCAACAATTTCAATACTGCAAACCCACATTCACACACTGTTTCATTTTAAATAAACTAAATTTTTATTTGAAAATATGATTTTATCTATTTTGTTCAGTTTCTAATCGTGTTCTTTTTCCAGTAACTGTGATACTTGAGTCGACATATGCGGGACCAATCTTAACCGTCGAAATTCGGACCAAAAAAATCTTAATTCTGTACATGTCTAGTCACGATCCTATTTTTCAATTATAAAATTGTCAAGAAACCTTTGAATCGAATGGAACTATGGCAATGTATAGGGCGATTCAGCTGAAATATATTCTGAAATTTTCAGCTTTATCCAACTTCATCTGACTGAGGTATCGGAAAGAGAAGATGAAAAAACATGATTCCCTTGCGATGTATTGTAGAAAGGCTGAATTGAAAAATGCTGCAGGGCTAAATATCGAAAAGTGACAATGTCAATACCAGAAAGTATCGAAAAAAGTTGTGTCTAATAAGGTGACACAGTAGATGAGCCTTCGTCGATTAAGGAGGCTAGACATAACATCATTATCAGGTGTGGATATGCATGAGAGAAAAGAGCAAAATTTGTATTCTTGACAATTTTACAATAAAAAATACTATTAGATTGAATAGCGATTTTACGCACTACAAGATTAATATCTAGCCTTCTTTTTAATGAGTCACATAGATAAGAAGATCTTTTCTTTTTCTTATACAGGGTTAAATAGTGATTCACTTTTCTGAATATAGAATTTATTCTCTTACAACTGATTCATTGTTGTATTAGGAAATATTTCTTATTATGACTCATCAAAATATACGATTCTTTTTTCCATAAAAGAATAAATTTTTTCTATTGTATTCAACAATATTTAATAGATAAATTTGAATGAAAAATTTTATTTTCAATATAAATGATTGAATTAAAAATTCTAATCTTTCTTTATTACATAAAAATATTTTTTTTTTAAAATTCAATCAATCTCTTCTGAATCTGATAACAAATATTGTTCATTCGAAGATTTCCATGTTTGAAAACGATCAATATATTGAGAATAAGCACACGAACGACAGATACAATCTCCTGAATAAGCATGAAGTAAAATTTGTTCATATTGTATATATTCATTACAAATATTACACATAAATTGATGATTTTGATTGAATTCATTTGTTGATTTTGTATAATTTAATGTCATTATATTTTTATTATTAATAAATTTAAGAAGAAAAATAACTTTTCTTTCGAGTATATTAATATGATTTTCTAATTCAATTTGTTTTATTCGAGTTAATTTTAATTCATTTTTAAATTCATTAATAATTGGTTGTACTTGTTGAAATGAACAATTATTTAAATGTATTGAAAGTGTATCTTTTGATCCTTTCCATGGACATTTAATATCAGCTGATGGACAAGATATAATTTGTTTTAAACAATTTTTTTCATGATTTTTCCAATGACATCGTTGAATATTTGTTTCATGACAAAGTAAACATCGAACAAGAAGACGATCAAGTTGATTAAGTACTATACGAGTATTAATTGGAACATATAATGAATATTCAAATGATTGATTAATTCTTTCATAACAATGTCGAATAATTTGTCGACAAATTGGACATGTTTGATTTTGATAAAACCATATTTTTATACATTCTTTACAAAATGTATGATGACATA